AGGTGCTTTTTCCAAAAGACAACTGGACTTTCTTGATTTTTCCCTTGAAAACGTTTCTCTTCCCATCATCTTCAGTTGGATGAGAAATGAAACGTTTTCAAGGCAAAACCCAAGGAAGTCCCAGTTGCCTCTTGAAAAAGGACCTTTGGAACAACTGTGACCTGGATGACTGATAATCAAAAACAACTCATCAGAAACTGACTTTTCAGGACTGACAAGGTCCAATTAGAGATTAACTCGTTGCAATTACGAGAGCTCAAGTCAGTTGATGCTTGCTGGCCCGTGAGCTGCTAAGAAATGTCTTTGAGAAGGCATCGCTTTGCCTGTGAAAATGCCAGCCACTGTTGCTGGCAAAATGTCAGGATACCACATCATTAGACCACGGCCGATTAGCCCAGAAGCTAATCACGGTTTGATTGACACTGACCATGGACGCCTGCACCAGTAGAAATCAAACTTTTTTTTTTCATTTACACTGGAGTTGGGGTTGGGGGAGGGGAGAGACCTGAGTTTCAACTTTTTGCAGGCTTGCTTGATAAAATTGTGCGGGTACCGGGGTGGGTGGGTGGGAGGGGAAGTGGAGAGGGAGGGTATCATTGTTCCAAAAATGGATCTGTAGCCTTGCCGAGTTGCACTTCCTATGCACTTTAAAGATTGTTTTCGTTACGAGCTTGTGTGCAAATAGCCTTAATTTAGGTCCTGTCTTGTTTGTCCGCTAAAAAGGCAGGTAGCTTTGAAGAACCACACCTGTGTTTACGATTCATTCATCTCTTAAGCTAGGAATTTCAGGAGAAGCCATGCATTCTGGGATCCGTGCCTTCTGACATTTAATGTTGTTCTCCGTTGCTTTTTTAGACGCTGCCCAGGATAGGATGAGGAAGTTAAGCTCCCCCTGAATTTAAAGAATTAAGGCCCAGCCCTTTGTGAATACTCCAGTGGAGATCCTGGAATGGTAACAAGGGACAGAGAGGTCAATTAGAACTTATTCAGTCATCTGTGGTCCAAACTAAGGGACAGCACTTGGCTGTTCCAGTCTAGGCTCAGAAGCTAAGCAGGATCAAGCCTGGTTAGTCCTTGGATGGGAGAATATCAAGGGGCTAGGCTAGAGGGGAAGTTGGAAAACCTTCCAGAAGAAGACAATGGCAATGTTTTTGAGGAAACTCTATGGACGTATCTCTGTAAGCATCACAAGTTGACCTCAGCTTGAAAGAAACTTTACCTTTTTAATCATCAAAAACATCACATCCTCATCCAAGTGGGACCATGACTGGGAACCATTCTTTCCTCTTCTTTTTCATTCTCCTTCCTTCCCCTACTTCCAGAAAAACTCCATTGTTTTTGACCCAAGGATGAGACTTCATCTTCCTCTCTAAAGCATCTCCTGAGTTTCCTTTGAGAAGGCATTTGACGGTTCCATGGCTTTGGGGAAGGTTGAAGGATGAGCTTCCGGTTTTTCCAGCTACCTTTTGCTGGGATTGTCTGGTCTTGACTAAGATCTTGTTGGGGTCTCAAGGAAGCCAACTTCAGTAGGTTTTGCAGGAACTTGGGAGATCAGTAAAATGTCCTTCTGGTTTTGCTATCAAGAGTTTAAAGAACTTAGGTTGTGTCTCAAGACTTGGTCAATTGGCAGCTCCAGATTGTAGACATCTCACTGTGGATTCTTCTACACTGGCCAAGCCAAGGGTCTAGCAAAGTTTGCACGGGGATTTTTAAGGGGATGCGGGGAAACATATGTGCCATATCTAAGTCCAGGATCCTTTTGCACTATAAGTATTAAGATTGTCCTTGTTAGTAGTGAGACAATATGTTTCCGGCTCTTTAAGAGCCCACTTGTACTTAGGCAAGGATTGGAGGCTTTTTAAAAGGGACTTTCCATCATTTATTTTTCTGGTGCACCTTCAGGATTTTTACATTTTTCTTTGTAGGCTCAGGTAATTTGGTGTCTACAGTCAACGGTTACAAATTTAACCTCCCAAAGCATCACAGGGTAAAAATTGAGACTGGCTACTCACAATCACTCAGGGCAGTGAACAGTGTGCATAACCCCCCCCCCCAAAAAAAAATTCACTGTCAATGTAAGTTGTCATCAATCTGTTTTCTTTGATGTGTCTCATCCGGTTTTGGAACAGGGGTAGTAGATATTTTTGTTTTAAAAAGCCCAAGATTCAGCTGGACCTCTGAAAACGTTGCTGTACTTTTCTTCCCTTAATTTCCCTTTATACACACTTTCCTAGTTGCTGAAAATCACGCTGTTGCTGCTGCTGGAATTCCTTGCAAGAATTCCTAAACAAGCCATTTTCAGCCCCTTTTCCCCTTGTATGTGAAACACCATTGAAATCACGGTACTACACTTTTAAAACGAGGATGAGTTCATTACGGTGGGGCGGCCTAAATAACCCAAATGAAGGTTATTTTTTAAAAGTGTCCATCCTCATGTGTACAGCACAGTTCGAATCTTTTTAACTTTTGTCTACCAGATTCTAAACTGTTACATGCTTCGGTTTACCTGCGTAGCAAGTCTGAATCTGACATTTTAGGCTGCGCTCAGAGATTTACTGCGTGTAGGATTGCACTTCTAAACTTCGAAAACTTTGCACAAACCGTCGAGGGCCTCTTCAAAATAGGCTGGTGTTAAAATTGTCGATGTGACCCCGAGCTGTGAAATATATGCCTTCCCTGTCCCAATTATTTAACGGATTCTGTAAATGCCATTGGAAGAATGAGCTCACTCTATATTTAAAAAAAAAGAATTATGAACCTTGTTGAATAAAGAAATATACCTGAAGACTTTTCGTTTGGTGCCGAGAGTTTTGTGTCTGCTTCCTGGATTCTTAAGAAAGAGGGGTCTTCCTCTAGACCCCACCTAGAGTACTGCCTTCACTTTTGGTCATCATCACACTATAAAAAAGATGTTGAGACTCTAGAACAGGGGTCCTCAAACTTTTTAAACGGGGGGGGTGTCAATTCATGGTCCCCCAGATTGTTGGGGGGAGGGGCAGACCTGCTGGGTGGGTGTGGTTAGATGGTCATGTGACTGGTTGGGTGTGGCCAATTTAGCAGTCCATTAAACAACACACACAAATTAAACTTTAATTTGTTATGCTCCTGGGGATGGAAAGGTGGTTAGTGAAGGGATATGGCTGCCTTGGGGGCGGGAGGTAAGGGACTTCTGTTTGTGTATGTGTGTCTCTCTCTCCCTCCCTTCCTCCCTCTCTCTCTCTTGAGGCTGGGGAGGCCAAAAACGAACCCATTTTTGGCCTCCTGGGGCCTCTGTGCATCCCGTTGTTGGCCTCCTCGTCCTCCAGAACGCAGGTGGGGGCCGGTGGGTAGGTGGGGTGGAGTGGGCGGGGCAGCCCCATGGTCCTGTGCGGGCCGGATTAATGGCTTCGGCGGGCCATATCCAGCCACGGGCCATAGTTTGAGGACCCCTGCTCTAGAAAGAGTGCATAGAAGAGCAACCAAGATAGTTAGGGGACTGGAGGCTAAAACATATGAAGAACGGTTAAAGGAACTGGGTATGTCTAGTCTAGTGAAGAGAAGAGAAGGACCAGGGGAGATAGGAGATCATCTTCCAATATTTGAGGGGCTGCCACAGAGAGGAGGGAGTCAGGCTGTTTTCCAAAGCCCCCCAAAGGCCAGACAAGGAATAAGGGATGGAAACTGACCAAGGAGAGATTCAACCTAGAAATGAGGAGGAACTTTCTGATCGTGAGAACCATCAACCCATGGAACAGAAGTTGCATTCGGAAGTTGTGGGAGCTTCATCGCTGGAAGTTTTCAAGAAGAGTCTGGACTACCATCTGTCAGAAATGGTGTAGGGTCTCCTGCTTGAGTGTGGGGTTGGACTAGATAATCTTTCCAAGGTCCTTTCCAACTCTGTTCTGTACAATTGCTGGTTTTATTGTGGTCTATCACAAAGCATTTGCACTGAGAGTTAATTTAGCCTAGTAAATGCATGTGCCTGTTAATTTTTCCCATGTGTTTTAAAATACTGTATTTAGCTCTGTTAGTGACCTTGTGAAACACATTTTTAAAAAAAAAAAATGGTAAGGAACTTAGGAAAAACCACCCAGCATTCTCGAATTTCAAACCTAGTGATCCAAATTAAGTGCCCATTGGATACTTAACCTCTGAAAATGTTGCTGTACTTTTCTTCTCTTAATCTTCATTTCTACACACTTTCCTAGTTGCTGAAAATCACACTGTACCTGCTGCTGGAATTCCTTGCAAGAATCCCCAAACAAGCCATTTTCCCCTTGTATGTGAAACACCATTGAAATCACCGTACTACACTTTTAAAACGAGGATATGCTCATTACGGTGGGATGGCCTGAATAACCGAAATTAACCCGCTGGGCTGTCGTGCCATGAATTTTCTTTGCTCATGCAAATAGCATTTCCTTTTACAATTTTTTCTCTCTCTCTTTGTGACAGACAGGTTTCCAGCACTGGGCAAAAAGCCGGACTAATAGATCATCGAGATCCTTTCCAATTCTTTTATACAATTGTTCTATGATTTTTAATTCCCTAAATCTATGTCTGTGAAGCAATTAACAGTTCTGTGTGGATAAAGGAAAAGGTAAAGGTTCCCCCTTTCACATATGTGCTAGTTGTTCCCGACTCTAGGGGGCGGTGCTCATCTCCGTTTCAAAGCCGAAGAGCCAGCGCTGTCTGAAGATGTCTCCGTGGTCGTGTGGCCGGCATGACTCAACACCAAAGGCGCACGGAACGCTGTTACCTTCCCACCAAAGGTGGTCCCTATTTTTCTACTTGCATTTTTTTACGTGCTTTCGAACTGCTAGGTTGGCAGAAGCTAGGACAAGTCACGGGAGCTCACTCCATTACGCAGCGCTAGGGATTCGAACTGCCAAACTGCCGATCTTTCGATCGACAAGCTCAGCATCTTAGCCACTGAGCCACCGTGTCCCACTCTGTGTGGGTACAGAACTGCTCCATAATTGTATGGTTTCTTGAGAAAGGAAGAGACACTCTAAAGGATCTTGGATTGATTCATTTATGTACGCTTGGTGGTCTCTCTAATCCACTTAACGTATCTGGAAACGCGGGTGTAGATTCCATATTTATCCTTCTTGGCACATTGCTCCCCCCAGCTGGTGATCCCTGTCAGAAACCATACTTCTTCAATGTCCGTGGTATATGGACCACCGCTGTCCCCTTGGCAAGTATCCTTGGCTTCACTGGGGTGGCCTGCACAGAACATATTTGGCAAGATGGTATAACTGCTGCTCCTCAGACAGGTCGATCGGTCAATGAACTGTATTTGCAGCACCTGAAGGATCCTCGCTTGGCGGCCTTGGTAAGCCAGTTTCCCCCATCCACTCACGGTGCCCTTCCCAAACTTAAGGAGGCTGTTGGTGAACTCTTTCTCCCCAATGCAAATGGGGATGACGTAGTGGTTGAACTCCAGAGGTGTGTCCAACTCAAGGAGGGCGATGTCATTGTGGTACTTGCTAGTGGTGTTGTATGTAGGGTGAGGGATGGCTCTCACCACGTTGCGGTATTGTTCGGTGTTGTCCACAATATAGATATTGTGTTCACCTGGAGGAGGAAGGAGGAGAAAGAGGAAGGAGGAAGGGAGGGAGGGAGGGAACAAGAAAGGAAGGAAGGAGAGGAGGAGAAGGAGAAGGAGATGGAGATAGAGAAGAAGGAGAAGGAGAAGGAGAAGGAGAAGGAGAAGAAGAAGAAGAAGAAGAAGAAGAAGAAGAAGAAGAAGAAGAAGAGAAGAAGAAGAAGAAGAAGAAGAAAGAAGAAGAAGAAGAAGAAGAAGAAGAAGAAGAAGAAGAAGAAGAAATATAATATAATTAAAACAGGAAAGGCAAATCTCTTAACATGCTAAATGCTAAAATCTAAATAATATGATCAGGAACTTGAGGGGAATTCTGTATTGTTACCCCAAAACACTTGAAAGAGAGTGGCGATTTTCCTCATATTTGTTGATGTTTAACTATGCCTGTTTCTTCCTCCTCTGCAGCCTCTTGGATTTTATCATAAACCAAGTCACTGCAACACTATATATTTACTTAAATATATACCGTATTTTTCAGAGTATAAGACGCACCTTTTTCCCCCCTAAAAGGTGGTGAAAATTTAGGTGCGTCTTATACACCGAATGTAGCCCCGCCCACCCACTGGCCTCCACCCTTTGGCCTCTACCTCGCAGCAGTTACCTCCTTGCAAGCAAACAGCAAGAAAAAACAGCTCCTTTCAGCTTCAGCACAGCTTAATTAGCACAAGTTGATTGGATCGGCCTCCCGACTCTCATCTGATTTGGTCTCAGCTGTTTTGCACAGGGCTCTGCTGCTTGCTGCAAGGAAGAAAATTGCTGGAGCAGATTTTTTTTTCCCCTTGTGCTAATCAAGCTATGCTGAAAACGAAAATGAAAGTAAAGCAGGCTGTTTGCTGCAAGGAGGCAAAATGGCTCAGAGGCAGAGGGAGATTTCTTTTTCTTCTTTTCCTCACCAAAAAATGTAGGTGCCTCTTATCCTCCAAAAAATACAATAGCTAGGAAAAGGGTAGTTAGCGGATTACCTGCTACAATCCTTTTGGGCTGAAACTCAAGGCAATGAGCTGCTGTGACAATCCACTTTTCATTGACGATGGTGCCTCCACAGAATCCCTTCCCTTCGGAATTGAGCAAATAAACCTGAGAATGGGGAGGGAGGGGAAACATATCAAGTCAAGTACTGTTGGTTAAGAACAGAGCAACTCAATGGTTGAAAGGGAAAGCCAAAATCTTGGTGATGAAATTGAGGTGACCTCATGCCTCTCATGCCTGTGGTCTTCTGGAAAGCTTCTGGTGGAACATGATGGGAGATAGACAGGATCCCAAACTATACTCGCTGGAAGCTAAGCAGGAGCAGGCCTGGCTAATATTTGGATGCGAGGTTACCAGAAAGTTCTGGAGCTGTAAGCTAGACCTAGGAAGTATCTCAGAAGAAAACTTCCCTATTGTTGTTGTGATGTAGCTGTGTCCGTGAAGTCATCAGGAGTTGGCTTTGAAGTTGAGTTGGGATGAGTTGAGTGTGAAACTCGACTACAAGTAAACATTGAGTTCTAAGAATTCTATAAGGGCCTCCACATTGTTTTGAAGCCTTGTAGATAAATACCCACGTTATTTCTGGCCATTCACAAAATATCAGCATTTCTGTGTTAGCAACAATAATCAGATTTGGGATGGATCTTAACCTATTAACCAAAGAGCTCCCTGTGCAGTACATGAAAGTCAAGGCAATTTTATTACAGCATCATTTTTTTTTTTGTTCCAAAGAGGGTTATAAAATGCTATAAAATAGCTCAAGCCATGAATGAATGTGTTGCAGAAAGAACAAAGAGAACATAAGCTGTTCCCAATCCATCAGAATAGGGTTTACAATGGGTAAATATTCTTAGAAACGGGTCACCGTTCCTTTAAAATAGCAATGTGAAGAGTTGCCTTTAGATGGCACCAAAGTGAAATTAACTGGGCAAAAAACGTAATTTGTGTCATTAACCCTCTTGCAAGATTCTGGTAGCATTTGCATAGGACTTTGGGACTATAAAGATAGGGTGTGTTTTAATGCAATTTTTTTTTCCTGCCGTGTCCTTGAATTGAGTGACTGGAGGAAAAAAAGGGACACGGTTGCATTAATTAACCTGGTGCATTCATCCAGAGGAAATAATAAAATCACTGAGTGGCTGAAAGCAGAATAGAATAGAATAGAATAGAATAGAATAGAATAGAATAGAATAGAATAGAATAGAATAGAATAGAATTCTTTTTATTGGCCAAGTGTGATTGGACACACAAGGAATTTGTCTTTGGTGCATATGCTCTCAGTGTACATAAAGAAAAAATAAAATATATTCATCAAGAAGCATAAGATACAACACTTAATGATAGTCATAGGATACTAATAAGGAATCAAATCATACTAGGAAATAATAAAAATAATATAAGTTATAAAGATACAAGCAACATGGATATAGCCACAAGTGGGAAGAGATAGGTACTAGTAAGGATGTTAAGAATAGTAATAGTCTTAGTAGTTAATTTGAGAGTATTGTGGGATTTAGTTGTTTAGCAGAGTGATGGCATGAGGGAAAAAACTGTCCTTGTGTCTTGTTGTTCTGGTGTGAAGAGCCCTATCGCGTCATTTTGAGGGTAGACGAATAGAAGTAATTGTTCAATCTGGTTAGTTTTGGGGCAGAAAATTGGAAATTCCCAGGAAGAACCAAGAAAGGAAGGTGAAGATATCGAATGAAGCTGTAGAGGACTAAGTGAGGACTAACGATCACTCAATATCATTTCTCTGCAACGTCCCTGATGGAGAGCAGCAATTCTGGAACAATGGTGGAGCAACTCTCAATGTCCTACCTGCCACGGAACTTCTCCTTTCTTGCTTTCCATGCCGCCAACCACTCGTATATCGGTCGACAGATGAAAGGAAACCTGAGTGTGGTTGTAGCCTTCTTCCCAGTCCTCAGTCACATTGCTTGGGGAGATCCAGTGATCAAATGAGTTTGATGGATTGGAGCGGGTGAATTTACCTTGGGCTTCTGGAGCTTGGATCTTTCCACAGGGAAAGGGCACTGAAGAAGACACCAAAGGGGAGAAAAGCCGTTGGGAAATTGCCAGCCAGGCTGGAAGGAGGTGTCAAGCCAGGGTTCTAGCTTGAAATCCTTGTGCAGCCACAAGCAGCATAAGCCTGATCTTCCCTAAGACTCATGAAACCTTATCTGGTTATTCCCAAAAGAAGGCAAGTAGTCTGGGAAGATTCTTGCAATACAGGCAGAAGTCCATAAACTTGCTGACTCAAGGAATTCATGGGCAATTGGTTGCCTGAGACTGAGAAAAACTGGGATTCTGGACACCTTCTTGTGAACCAAAGAGGGAGCAAGATCATCCGTTACATTCCAAGAGGATTTTCATAGATTGGTAAGGAGCTCTGTTATGAATCTTAAAGACTTCAACAACACAAGTAAGTAAGAAAATAGCTACTCCAATGCTCAACAGTTGCTTATCTTTCATCTTCCACCCCACTGAAGGTCAGTTGGTTGCCTTCCACCTACTTTTTTGTTTCTCAGCCAACCTGTATTAGAGCGATCAAGGTCAGGCACGGATCTCTGATTGTTTGGGATTCAGAGGTAAATCTGACAGATCCTAAAGAGGAAACCCAGTTCCAGCCTCAGAATACTGGCTTTCAGATTGAATAAATAATTTCCCCTGTCCACCAAAGGCAGTGTTGAAATCCATTTTTTTTTACTACCGGTTCTGTGAGCGTGGCTTGGTGGGCGTGGTGTGGTGTGGCTTGGTGGGCAGGGGAAGGATACTACAAAATCCCCATTCCCTCCCCACTCCTGGGAGAAGGATATTGCAAAATCCCATTCCCACCCCACTCTGGGACCAGCCAGAGGTGGTATTTGCCGGTTCTCCGAACTACTCAAAATTTCCGCTACCAGTTCTCCAGAACCTGTCAGAACCTGCTAGATTTCACCCCTGACCAAAGGGTAGAACCAAAAGAACATTGGAAACTTCCATTAGACTAGTGTTTCTCAATCTCAGCACCTTTAAGATGCTGGCTGGAGAATTCTGGAAGTTGATATCCAGAGATGCTGATGGGAATTCTGGGAGTTGAGGTTCAGAGATGCTGGCTGGGGAATTCTGGAAGTTGAAGTCCACAATCTTAAAGACCACTGAGAAATATCAGTTGGCCATGGCGAGAAACTAAATGTTGGATTAAAAACGCCTTTAGACTGATCCACCATGAAAATACTATTCTGTGTAATTTTTGGGGAAAATTTTGCACTGCTTTCCAACATTTGCCCTACCTGTTGGTTCACAGGTTTTCATGTCTTCCTTCAGCCTGTATCCCACGGAGCAGGAGCAAACTGCTCTTCCCACTTCGTTATCCTTGCAAAACTGTTTGCACCCACCATTTTTGGTTTTGCAGGTAGCATCTAAATGGGAAGAAATCAGATATTCTCCTGAAGTGCTTTGGAGCCATGATTTTCATTCCTCTTATTTTCTACGATATACATTCCCCATTTTCCCCATCCTTTATTATCACTATCTTTGTCGTCCCTTTATTTTTAATTTTCTTTGTTTACAATATTTTGCACATTTGTCACCTTCTTCTCTCCATCGTTTATTCACATTTACTTTCCCTAATCTCGAGCCAATCATACCATTTAGTCCATACTTGATAATATTCTGTATCTTCCTTTTCTTTTATTTCTTTCGTTAATTTATCCATCTCCGCACAGTCCAGGATTTTCTTAATTATTTCTTCCTCTGTTGGGATCTTTTCACTTTTCCGGGACTGTGCGTAGACTATCCTTGCCGCTGTAATTATATGCAGAATCAAATATCGAATTTCTTTACTGTAAGTTCTGTTCAATATCCCCAGTAAAAATGTTTTGGGTTTCCAAATCCACATTATAGCCAATTATCTCTTCTATCCAACTTCTAATTTTAAACCAATATTTTTTTTGCATTGGGACATGTCCACCAGAGATGATAATATGTTCCGGGGTCTTTTTTACATTTCCAACAATTTGGAGAATTGTTCAAAGACATTTTAGCAAGTTGTACTGGTGTGAAGTGCCTCAGGGTCACCTGTTCAGGAGCGTTACTCAGGTGACCCTGAGGACACAGATAAACCTCCAAGTGCTTCACCAACCCTCTGAAAGGATGCAAATGACCAGCTGTCTGCAAGGAATGCAAATCCTTCCATTCCTCACTATCTTGTCAGAGCTGAAGAAGTTTTTTGGATGAGAAGTGAAATGTCTTCAAAGAAAAACCAGAAAGTCCAGTTGTCTCCTGAAAAAGCACCTTTGGGACAACCATGACCTTGGATGACAGAGAATCTCTACAGACACCTAAGTACTCATTTTAGGGCCTCAAATAGTTTTGCCGTTGGCTGAAAAGGAAAAGAGGGGGAAGCCTCCATTGAGCTATAATAAAAGGATAAGATGAATGTCTCAACGTACCGAGTTCACAGCTCTTTCCATCAAAGCCACCTGGACACCAACAGGTATAATCATTTGTGTCATCTTTACAACGGCCTCCATTCTTGCAGGGGTTGGGGTCGCATTGATCTCCATCTTTTGAAAGAGAGAACGGATAATGAATGCAGGGTGGCTGACTCCATTCTTATTTTATTTATCGCTTTACAGGATTCCTGCCCGTTAATCCATCAGACTGTCTGATCTCTTCCGACTGGAACGGGAATATTTTTATTTTGAACTAGGACAGGGTCTGCAACCTTAAACACTAAAAGAGCCATTTGGAACCATTTCCTACAGAAAAGAAGAGAGAGAGAGAGATACAGAGAGAGAGATACAGAGAGAGATACAGAGAGAGAAAGAGAGAGAGAGAGAGAGAGAGAGATACACACACAGAGAGAGATACACAGAGAGAGAGAGATACAGAGAGAGAGAGATACAGAGAGAGAGAGAGAGATGCAGAGAGAAAGATACAGAGAGAGAGAGAGAGATACACAGAGAGAGAGAGAAAGATACAGAGAGAGAGAGAGATACACAGGTACAGAGAAAGAGATACAGAGATACAGAGAGAGAGATACAGAGAGAGAAAGCTACAGAGAGAGAGAAAGATACAGAGAGAAAGATACAGCGAGAGAGAGAGAGATACACAGAGAGAGAGGTACAGAGAAAGAGATACAGAGATACAGAGAGAGAGATACAGAGAGAGAGATACACAAAGCTACAGAGAGAGAAAGAGAGCTACAGAGAGAGCTACAGGGAGAGAGAGATACAGAGAGAAACAGAGATACAGAGATACAGAGAGAGAGAGATACAAAGAGAGGGGGGAGAGGGAGAGAGAAGACTGGCTGGCAGGCGACCATCATTGGCGAGGGCGCTCTGGCTTTCTCCGAGCCTGACTCCTGGGGTGGGCATGCGAGGTTTGGTGGGGCCAGCCCCCTTTTCCCGCTGCCCTGAGCTTCTTTACTCCTCCAGCAAAGCAGTGCTGCCGCTGGCTTTCATTGAAAAGCATCCTCCAGGCGGCAAAAGCCCCCGTGCACGTTTTAAAGCTGCGGCTGAGCACTGCAGGCCCATCTCCCTTTCCATCGTCCCCTCCTCCTGGATCCCATTCCCACCCCACCAGCCCTCATGTTGTGCCCGGGTTGGGCCAGAGTCTCAGGGCAGAGAACAGGTTGCGTCTCCCCAAGCGACTGAGGCATGCCCAGCACCAACAAGGGCAGGAAGAAGCTCCAGCAAGAGTGAACTGCTGGAGAAGCAGCCCCAGCCGCTTCTCCATCCTCCGCTGTCGCCCTTACCTTCTCAGGCCAGGCAAGGAGTGACTGGGAGGGGAAGGTGAGGGGCGGGACCAGCCAGTGGTGATCGCCGACAGGGAGTCACAGCAGAGGGCCCAAAGAGCTGTATGAGGAGCCACAGGTTGCAGACTGCGCCTTGGTGGCGCAGCAGACTAAAGCAGACTAAAGTTCTGTTAAGTAACACCAGCTGCCTGCAATTACTGCGAGTTGGAATCTCACCAGGCTGAAGGTTGACTCAGCCTTCCATCCTTTCGAGGTAGGTAAAATGAGGACCCGGATTGTGGGGGCAATAAGCTGACTTTGTATAAAAAAAGAACAACGCTTGGGGAGGGGCGAAAGCCCTACTACGCAGGTATATACAAAAAGTATGAAGGCTATTGCTTAACGCATTGTAAGCCGCCCTGAGTCTCCGGAGAAGGGCGGCATATAAATTGAACCAATAAATAAATAAATAAATAAATAAATAAATAAATAAATAAATAAATAAATAAATAAATAATAAATAAATAAATAAATAAATAAATAATAAACAAACAAACAAACAAACAAACCCAACCTAGGAGCCTTGTCATACCATTAAAATGAGAAGGGGAAAAAAATAAATCACTTACCAATATAGATTGTCCAAAATGTCCTCTGCAAAGAAAGCAGAAACGTGAAATTCAAACAGAAAGGCTTTTAAATATATGGTTTATTTTTAATAGATGATGATGACCACATTTTTAAAAAATTCTGTACAATTTCACAGTGTTCTTTGCGAGTACGTAATTTGTATTGTTTCCTTGCTGACTTCGTCCAGAGTTGTTCTTTTGATAGGGGTGATTTACAAATACTGCAAATCCACGAAAGCATTGATGATGCACTTTAGAAAGAGGTAATCTCTGACTTCATTCAAGACACACTGAGAGGGTTTTAAACCAAGAACAGGAGTTACAATCTAATCTGGTGCATATATATATATATCTTTTTAAATTGGTTTTAATGTTTGTATTTATGTTTTTACTTTGGCTGTACACCGCCCTGAGTCCTTCGGGGGAAGGGCGGTATATAAATTTGATAATAAATAAAATAAACAATATTTACTCAGAGATAGGAAGGCACTGGATGGTGGAAAGAAAAAGAAAAAAGGAAGGAAGGAAGGAAGGAAGGAAGGAAGGAAGGAAGGAAGGAAGGAAGGAAGGAAGGAAGGAGGGAAGGAGAGTGGGAGGGAGAGAGGGAGTGAAAGGAAAGGAAAGGGAAGGGAAGGGAAGGGAAGGGAAGGAAAAAGACATAACTTTGCCTTGATGCAAAGATAAAATCAATATAAAATAAGAGCTAATAGAATGTAGAATCCCAAACGCTACTGGAAAAAAAGATTGTCAACACTTTTGACATCAGAGCGAATGGCCACTGCTCATGTCCACCAAAATTAGAACGTTGACAGAGCAATTAAAAAAAAACAAAGTCTTATTTGAGGACAATAATATTTGTTTAAAGGACCTCAGCCTGCAAACTCCAGTGCTAATTCTGGGCAACTTTAGCAGACCATTGTCTCTTGCACAGGTAACATTCCTGGCTGTTTAAATATATTTATCTGAGCCTGGAGCACATTCTAACTTCTAAATAAATATGACCAACCCTCTACGGATTTAACGGGAGGGGGTATTTCTGCGGAAGCCAGGAATCAGCTGACCTGAAAGCCCACCCCACCCCTGCCCCCATCAAAACTCCAGGTTTCCCACCAGGTGACTCACCGTTCTCTCATCGTTTTCGAAAATTTCTCTCGCTTCTTCGTAGCTACATACTTCTTCCATACATTCTCGTTCCAGGCTTCCTTGGAGCACTTCCTCAAGTCGCCCAGTGTTGAATCTCCTGTATCGGTGCAAAACCGTGCTTGCTTCTTCCTGATTTATAAAAACTTCAGGAGGCCAAGGAAGAAGGAAGGAAAGAAGGAAGGAAGGAAGTGGGAGTCAGAGAGATACTGTTCGGATCAACCCCGAGCAATTCCGAGATTGGGATGAGGCTGTATAGTTAGTCCTCGATTTACGACCGGAATTGAGACTGGCTGTATAGCTGTAGTTGTAAGTCAAGGCATCACATGACCAAACCTGACAGTCGAGCACCGGTTGTTAGGCGAGTTCTACAATCAATCATTTTTCCCCAATGGATGTTTTTGCTAAAAATAAGAGTAGAGTAGAGTAGAGTAGAGTAGAGTAGAGTAGAGTAGAGTAGAGTAGAGTAGAGTAGAGTAGAGTAGAGTAGAGTAGGGGAGGGGAGGGGAGGGGAGGGGAGAGAGGAGAGGAGAGAGATTGGAATAAATGAATAGACTAGACTAGACTAGAGTAGAGTAGAGTAGAGTAGAGTAGTAGAGTAGAGTAGAGTAGAGTAGAGTAGAGTAGAGTAAAGTAGGGGAGGGGAGAGAAGAGGAGATTAGAATAAATGAATAGAATAGAATAGAGGAGGGGAGGGGAGGGGAGAGGAGAGGAGAGGAGAGGAGAAGAGGATTGGAATAAAAGAATAGAGTAGAGTAGAGTAGAGTAGAGTAGAGTAGAGTAGAGTAGAGTAGAGTAGAGTAGAGTAGGGGAGGGGAGGGGAGAGGAGAGGAGGGGAGAAGAGAAGAGATTGGAATAAATGAATAGAGTAGAGTAGAGTAGAGTAGAGTAGAGTAGAGTAGAATAGAATAGAATAGAATAGAATAGAATAGAATAGAATAGAATAGAACAGAACCTTGGAGATCCTCTAGTCCAGCCCTCAGCTCAAGCAGGAGAACCTAAACAATCTCTACAAGTGACTGTCCAGTCTCTTCTTAAAAACCTACAGTGATGGAGCACCCACGATTTCTGAAGGCAAGCTGTTCCACTGGTTAATTGTTATTACTGTTAGGAAATGTTAGAAAATGGGAAAGCAAATGCCAAAAACATCATAAATTGTGGCCATGTGACCACAGGACGCTACAGACGGCCATCAAGATGAGCGGGTTGCCAAGCAACCAAATGCGATCAGCTGACCACAGGAGATGTAGCCATCATAAGTAGCTTTGGAGAGGTCTGTCGTAACTTTGAACGAGAGCCTTGGTGGCGCAGCAGTTTAAAGTACTGTTAAGTAACACCAGCTGCCTGCAATTACTGCAAGTAAGAATCTCACCAGGCTCAAGGTTGACTCAGCCTTCCATCCTTCCAAGGTAGGTAAAATGAGGACCCAGATTGTGGGGGCAATAAGCTGACTTTGTATAAATATACAAAAGGATGAAGGCTATTGCTTAACGCATTGTAAGCCGCCCTGAGTCTCCGGAGAAGGGCGGCATAGAAATTGAACCAATAAATAGATTGTTAAGCCACCTGTTGTAAATCGAGGAACACCTGTAATCATCATCATCATCTCCTTTTAACCCCATAATCCCTTGTGGGATGGAGTCTGGGCAACTGAACGGAGCTGAGTGTTTACTGGCCAGATGCCCTTCTTGTCACCAATGCGGAGTTATAGTCAGTAGATATATTCTCAACGTGCCCAGAGAGATTAAAGGCACACCTGTAATCCGGCATCCAAATCTTCAGGTTTGATACCAAAGCAGTAACCTTCAGCTTTCCAAACCATTAATCTGTGATTCAGGCACAGGCTGCCTTTGGCAGAAAGCCACAGAGACACAACTTAGCTCAATTAAACTCTGGGGTTGCTGACAAGAACGATGCGTTAATCGTAAACTCTCTGCATTGCAGAGCGAAGTTTAATGTCGCTCTGTGATCCAGCGTCTACACTCTGTGCTGTTTTCGCCCTTCTTTCCAAGTTCAATGATCACGAGCCACTGTCTCTCTAGCCTGGGAAAACGCCGCTTGCCACTTGTCTGGATTCAGCCCTTACGTTGGCACCGTATCCATCCCACAGGATCGCAGTGGCTCATATGGTCAGGATGCCGCTGGTGACGAGGGGCAGGCTCGCGTTCGAAACCCGGATGCTGCCACCGTACGCTTGACCGAAAGCTCATTATCCGTTCCCCACAATAAGATTAATAATTAAGCTTCCAGTTGTTGACCTGTGACTTCTTTGTTCCAAGATAAAGTAGGCCAATCCAAACAGCCAAAGGCTGAACTTTCTAAATGAAAACAGAGGTCCCTACAAATAATATTTGGTATGGAGTTTCTCAGTCATCCAAGTCATGATTGTCCCAAAGGTGCTTTTTCAAGAGGCAACTGGACTTTCTGGTTTTTCTTTGAAGACGTTTCACTTCTCATCCAAGAAGCTTCGAAGAAGAACCAGGAAGTCCAGTTGCCTCTGGAAAAAGGACCTTTGGGACATGATGCTCCGTCATCCAGGACCTGGATGATGGAGAATCTCTACAGACTTTTAACTATACAATTTGGGATGAACACTCTTGAATGGTATGGGAGTAGGAATGGATTTCCAGAGAGAAAAAAATTGCAGACTACAGGAACCAAGAGCATTACCTGAGGACACAGGTAAACCTCCAAGTGCTTCAAAAACCCTCTGAAAGGATGCAAATGACCAGCTGTCTGCAAGGAATATAAATCCTTCCATTCCCCACTGTCCTGTCAGAGCTGAAGAAGCTTCTTGGATGAGAAGTGAAACATCTTCAAAGAAAAAACAGGAAGTCCAGTTGCCTCTCGAAAAAAGAAACACCTTTGGGAGATTTGATTGGCTCCTGCTCGTAGTTATCTTTTAGGAGAACATCCCAAAACGAACAAAAGAAGACATTTAGAAACCCACGGAACAACATTCACGGAAGTTGATTAGATCCTATCATCCAAGGAGTAGATGTGAAATGTCAACGAGAGGAATCAAAGAGTCAATTGATGCAGAAGCAAACATTTTTCGATGCGATCATCCTGCAAATATCCCAACCTGTGTCAAATAGCCCTTGGAGTTCATACTTCAGTGCTGAGATAATTATATTTATTGCCTTTTGCTGTTACTGGCCCCTGTTAGCTCTAAAGAGGTCCTTAGAATGAGTGGTTTTCCCTTTGCGTTGGGCTTGAAAAACAAATGAATCTCAACCAATTTTCTACAGCACTGAGTGAAGAGCCATCTAGCTTCAGGAAAAATAAGCCACTTTTCGATAGGAGAAAGCTGGCTTATTGGTCCCGTACTGACACTTAACATTTCTTTAGAAGTTCTATTTTATAGAAAAGTAAGAAGCTAGTGATCATACCTCTTGCGGGTATCTACGGAGAAGATAATGTGCAAAATTACAGATTAACAGAGTTGGAAGGGACCTTGTAGCTTATCTAGTCCAAGCCTCCACCCAAGCAGGAGACCCTACAACATTTCTGACAGATGACAGTCCAATCTCTTCTTGGAAGCCTCCAGTGATGAAGCTCCCACAACTTCTGAAGGCAACTTCTATTCCACGGGTTGATTGTTCTCACTGTCAGAAAGTTCCTCCTCATTTCTAGGTTGAATCTCTCCTTGGTCAGTTTCCATCCATTATTCCTTCTCTGGCCTTTGGGTGCTTTGGAAAATAGTTTGACCCACTTCCTCCTCTCTGTGGCAGCCCCTCAAATATTGGAAGACTGCTATCCTGTCTCCCCTGGTCCTTCTCTTTGCTAGACTAGCCATGCCCAGTTCCTGCAACCGTTAATTCATGGAGGTAGCTTAGCGATTCACTCAAAAACAATAGCAAAAAAAAAATAAAAACACCCAGACATAAAAGCTGGCAGGACTCACTTAACAATTGTTTTGCTTAGCAACAGAAATTCTAGGCCCCAATTATGGTCGTAAATTGAGGACTACCTGTAAGCACAGCTTCGTCCGTCACGCTCTCATAGGAAGCTGGCTTTGAGTTGTTGATTCCTTCTCCAAGGCAGAAGGTGTTTCTCTTTGCCCAAGCCCAAAACAAAATCCAGAGGTTTGTTAAATAGATGGAAAATGAACCGACCTGCACCCTCGGCGAGGAAGAGACATCCCAGCAGGCCCAGTGCAGGGACAAAGACGCTGTTTGCCATTTTCTTTCAACTTCAAAACACCGTCCTGATGTTCGGGGATATGAAACTACCGGATCGATAATAGTTCCAAAGTACAAGTCAATATTTGTTCTTGCGGGTGTTATCTCTCTGCGGAAGATTTCTGGATGGGCTTCTGCCGCTGGTCTTCAAATGGCAATCCCCCCCCTCCTTTTTTTGAAGGGTTTGGCTGAATAGCCATCCGGTTGTGCCAAAACGCACACTAGAATTCCCAGGCGTTGCGGCCATCCGGGATCCTTCCTCAGATCAGTTGCCAACAAAGGCTTCCATTTTGATGTTTGACCCTTAAAAAAAAACCACATAAAGAGCCGTGGTGGCACAGTAGTTAAGAATGCAGTACAGCAGGCTGCTTCTGCTGACTGCTGTCTGTCGACAGTTCGATTCTGACCCGATTCAAGGTTGACTCAGTTTAAGGTGGGACTAGAATTCTTCATCTCCTGGGGATTGGTCCAGTCAGCTTTCATACCTAAGGCAGGACTCGAACTCACTGTGGTTTGTAACCCGAGACCTTAACCACTAGACTAGACCAAACTGGTTAGCCTTAACCTCCATGAGGTTTGCTGTCAGGGCATTATTTGAGTGAACCCAAATGCAGCTTTGCATTTGCAAAGATGCAGCTTTGAACTCATGGTTCAAAGCTGCATCTTTCTAAATAAATTACTAAATCCAAAGGATCTGGGCTGCCAGTGTTCTTGCAATCATGTATTAAATCTACATTTTAGCATGATTTCACTAGCACTGATGATGTTCCCTAGTTGGGTAATGAAACATTTCCAAGAAAACAGGCAAACTCAGGAAGCAGCAAGAACCCTACCATATTTCTCCACCTCCTCCTCCTCCTCCTCCTCCTCCTCCTCCTCCTCCTCCTCCTCCTCCCTGCAAACCCCATTCTCTTCTAGCACTATTAATGTTACTTCGTTTGGTTAATGAAATTTCTGCAAGAAAACAACCAAGCTCAGAAAATACCAAGAACCTCTCAATCCTCCTTCTCCTCTTTCTCCTCCTCCTCCTCTTTCTTCTTCTTTAAATAGATTAAAAGAGTTGGAAGGGACCTTGGAGGTCTTCTAGTCCAACCCCCTGCTTAGGCAAGAAACCCTACACCCTCTTCCTCCTCCTCCTTCTCCTCCTCCTCCTTTTCTTCTTCTTCTTCTTCTTCTTCTTCTTCTTCTTCTTCTTCTTCTTCCTTCTTCTCCTTCTTCTTCTCCTCCTCCTCTCCTTCTCCTTCTCCTCCTCTTTCCTCCCCCCTGTTCCTCCTCCCTCTTCCTCTAGTCGATGTTCCCTAATCCAGAAAACATCTGGAGCAAAATCCCCAAGCTCAGAGAGCACCGAGGTCTCCTCCACCATGTCACCATTATTAAAGCAGTTAGAGATAAGAACACATCCCTCCGTGATCTTTTTCAAGTTGCCATTTATTTATTTATTGCTTTCATTATACTTCATAATCATACACATTTCCAAATTTCAACACGCATTTCTCAGGCTCATTTGCCATCCACTTTTTTTCTACTCTTGTGTTTTACCTTCACCCCAGCCAGGTAAGCAGGCAGTGCTTAGAAAACTGATGGTGTGGTGGGATTTGACTAGACTCAGAACGACGGGATTAAAAATGGGCCTTCGAATTCTTCAAGCGAAAGGCTTTACCCATTGGGCTCTGCCACCTCTACCAGTATTATGTTCCTAGCTAATTTCTGTGCAGATTGGATCCGATTTCAGTGAAAATAATGCCCCAGAATAAAGCATGATCTATTTTTGCGTAAGTGTTATGTACTGTAATTAAATGAAAGGGGCAAAGGAATTAGGAAGCGTATATGTCTCCTCCCTCACATGGTCAGGAGATAACAGGGGAACTGATAGAAGACATTGTGCCTCTTCCTCACAGCTCCCCTCTTATCACATTGTGTATCCACGCAATATAATTTGCAATCGAAGTGAAGGTCTCGTACGGTTTGTCCCCGGTACACTCTTCTCCACAAGTCGCGATGCCCGTTAGAAACCATGTGTTGTTCCTCTCCGTGGCAAATGGAGCACCACTGTTGCCATGATAAACCTTTCTGACAAAGGTAGGATGGCCTGCACAGAAGGTATTGGGAGAAGGTTGGGTGTCGTTCTTCTGCAGACAGTTGACCTGGTCGACATATTGGATGTCGGCACGCTGAAGGGTAGTTGAGATCTTCTCTAAATAGTCAAGCGTCCACCAGCCACTCTGGGTGCCTCTTCCCTGCTCTAGGAGGTACTTCGTGAGCACCCTGTTCCCGATGCAAATGGGGGTGACATATTTGTTCAGGACCAAGGGTGTGCTGAGTTCCAGAAGAGCGAGGTCGTTTTCATACTTTCTAGTCTTGTTGTAGCTAGGATGCTGGAACACCCTCAGGATTTGACGGAGCTGCTCAGAGTGCTCGAAGGCACTGGTGTCGTATTCTCCTGATTCAAGAGAAGAACAACAAACCCATTAGGTGTGTTTTCAGACTGACCAAGCTGCATCACTTCCAGGAGACATCTCGTGTAGCCTACAGCTGGTATCTGCAACTCAATGGGGAGGTTGAAGTGAAGGAACATAGTCTGAAATCTTTTTTTTTTTAAGGAAAAGGCACCAGGATCAGGGTTCAGATGATGTTCTGACCCAGCTTCCCAAACACGACAAACCCTCTGGCATGAACTCAAGATATTCCTTTAATTAGGACTGCCGGCAGCCCCGGCAAAAAGTTTCTCTCGCAGGCTAACAAGTCTGGCCAGCAGGGAGATGAATAGTTGTCTGCCACATCTATTCATCTCCACCCCCTGCCTTTGATCCCCAGAGCTAGGGTAGGACTTCATTAGCAGCGGTAGCTCTTCCGGCCCAAGGACCGGCCCATAAATTTACACTGCTCTCTTCTCCTCTGCCTTCTGCACATCCGCACGTCAGGCACTGGACTCAGCTGTTCCTCCTCTTCCTCATCAGCCACCTCCAGACCTGGGGGCTGTTGATTCTCCATCTGAGGACTGATGGATGGCCCATCTCTCTCTCTCTGAGAGCTCCATTCCCTCTTCCCCCTCGGAGCTCTCAGGTTGCCCTCATGCTGATCCTAACTCTCACACCTCCTTCTCCTCTGATTTTGCTGCTGGAGAGACCGGTGGCCGACAGGCCACAACAGATGACATGGTTGACCCATATAAGCTTCAGCCCTAGGATAATTGTTTAGCCTGGTGCCCCAGCAGCACATGATCATAGATGACTTGGTCCAATGGGAAGTCAGCAACTTTGATTGCTTCCCATTCTCACCACGGAGGGTAAGAAGCTCTTCCTTCCCATTTTAAAAATTCATGGAAGTCCAGTCACCTTCAGATCAAATCCATCATTGAGGGGAGAGGGAGAGAGACTTACCATCTCCCTACACACACCCATTTCTCTCTGCATGGGTGTGCTGTGGGGAGGTTCAAGAGTGAAAAGTTAAAAGAAACAAAAAGATGGCATTCTAAGGGCAGCCCAGATGTTGCAGAGCTGTTCCAGGACTTATTCTCTGGATTAGCAGCCCGAAAGCTGTTAACATTATGTTAAGCTTTTCTTTTAAGCTTATACAATATGGCTGCTATTAATTAGTTTGGCTACAATAAACTTTCTCTCACCCTAGCTGGGCTCTGGTCCAGGCGCAATGTGTAGTAGTCTGTGAGAATGACCTTGGGAGACCGAAGAAAGAGATGCAACCTAGGTTAGATAAGAGGGAGCATAGCCCATAGCTGCATAATGGACAGAGCAAAAAGGTCAGGAGCAGTGGTGAAATCCAATTTTTTTTACTATCGGTTCTATGGGCATGGCTTGGTGGGCATGGTTTTGCTTGGTGGGCATGGCAGGGGAAGGATACTGCAAAATCTCCATTCCCACCCCACTCCAGGGGAAGGATATTGCAAAATCTCCATTCCCACCCCACTCTGGGGCCAGTCAGAGGTGGTGTTTGTTGGCTCTCCAAACTGCTCAAAATTTCTGCTACCGGTTCTCCAGAACCTGTCAGAACCTGCTGGATTTCATCCCTGGTCAGAAGGGATCTTTCCTAAGTAATCAGGCTGCAAAGGTGACAGTGGGAGAATTGTACTTTCAGATGTGCAAAATTCTGTTAATGTAGCTTTACAACAAAGTAGAATTAAAACTGGTGGACTTCAACTCCCAGAATTTCCCAGCCAGCCAAGGGAGTTGAAGTCCACAAATCTTGAAGTTGCCAAGGATGGACACCCATGCTCTAGACAATTGCTTCCTTACCTGCCACAATTGTGTGAGGCTTATACTCCAGACAATGCGCTGCTGTGATAACCCACTTATCACTAATCAACACTCCTTCACAAAATCCTTTTCTATCGAAGCTGAACATATAAACCTGGAAGCAGATAAATTGTGTCAGATTGTGACAAATGTACAAAGACAGGACAGGAGATCTTCCAAAGACTGAATATTTCCCACCCGTTAACACTTGCATTTTTCCTTAAATTTCAACCTGTTTATCTGTCTCCTTTCCAAGCACTCTCTAGTTCAGAGGTCTTCAAACTTGGCAGCTTTAAGATTTGTGGACTTCAACTCCCAGAATGCTATGCTGGCTGGAGAATTCTGGGAGTTGAAGTCCACAAGTCTTAAAGTTGCCAAGTTTGAAGACCTCTGCTCTAGTTCTTTGGTGACTTCCCCATGTCAGGAGGGGAATTCTGGGAGTTGAAGTCCCTCCTGTCTTAAAGCTGCCAAGTTTGCAAAGCATTGTTCTACAGGTTGTTTTCCACTTAGGACCATAACGGAAACTGCCCATTATGATTGTAAGTCATCACAGTCATAAAGGAGGACCCATTTTATGACCTTTTTGGAATGGTCATTGAGTGAACATTGTGAGCTTTGCAACTTTACTGCTGGAAAGTAAATCTATTGTTTGCTATGGGTTGCTTTGACTGAAAATTGCAAGTAATGCCAGCTTTCAGCAAAAATGCCATAAAGCCCAGTCACGTGATGCTGCAAACAACTGTAAATTAGGTTGCCAGGTGTCCAACATGTAGTCTTTGTGAGGGGAGGGTGGGCCATCAGAACTACAGAACTTGTTCATAGGTACCTTTGGAGACTATCCATCATACTTCAAGTATAGAATAGAATAGAATAGAATAACAGAGTTGGAAGGGACCTTGGAGTCTTCTAGTCCAACCCCCTGCCCAGGCAGGAAACCCTACACCACTTCAGACAAAGAGTTATCCAACATCTTCTTAAAAATTTCCAGTGTTGGAGCATTCACAACTTCTGGAGGCAAGTTGTTCCACTGATGAATTGTTCTAACTGTCAGGAAATCTCTCCTTAGTTCTAAGTTGCTTCTCTCCTTGATTAGTTTCCACCCATTGCTTCTTGTCCTGCCCTCAGGGGCTTTGAAGAATAGTTTGACTCCTTCTTTGTGGCAACCCCTGAGATATTGGAAGACTGCTATGTCTCCCCTAGTCCTTCTTTTCATTAAATTAGACATACCCAGTTCCTGCAACCGTTCTTCATATGTTTTAGCCTCCAGTCCCTTAATCATCTTTGTTGCTCTTCTCTGCACTCTTTCTAGAGTCTCAACATCTTTTTTACATCGTGGCGACCAAAACTGGATGCAGGATTCCAAGTGTGGCCTTACCAAGGCCTTATAAAGTGGTATTAACACTTCACGTGATCTTGATTCTATCCCTCTGTTGATGCAGCCCAGAACTGTGTTGGCTTTTTTGACAGCTGCTGCACACGGCTGGCTCATATCTAAATGGTTGTCCACTAGGACTCCAAGATCCCTCTCACAGTTACTACTAACTTAAAGCTTACTAATTTAGATCTTACTAATTAGATCTTACTAACTTAAAGTGGTCACTAACTGACCAGTGGTAAGTCAAGGACTATCTTTACTTCCTCATTCAAGAGTAATGATGTCCATTTTAGGGTCTTAAAGGAAAACAAGAGGTGGAGCTGAGTTTGGCCTACATAATGATGGCACTTCAACCCAAGGAACTGATCGTTTGGATGGATTCTTCAGAAGAAGAGGTGATGCAACCTCAATAAATGCAGAGGCATGTGGTGGAACCCCTGATTTCATTTGCCTACCTGCCATGGAACTTGTCCTTTCCAGCTATTAAACTGACCCCAGTCTCGAGTAGGAATTCTTCTTGGGAGGACAACCTGAGCAATGTTTAACTTCCCTTGGTGTGTTTTGGTATTGTTGATGTTGCTCTGGTCCTCTGAGAGTCTGGATGTTATAGGTTCTGGCAATGTAATCGTTCCACAAGAAAAGGCTCCTAGAAAGAGAAGATGGAAGCACTGTTCCATGAGAAACAAATTGCCCAGCCACAATCTAAGTCTTCTCCATGCTTAGAACAGAGTTGGGGTTGATAACCACCTAACTTATTCTCATGGGAACGGTGCTACACAGCATCCTTCCTCTGAGAGAAGGAGATGGTGGGCAAGAAGAATGAAGCTTGGAGATGCTTGGTCACTGCTGTGACCTATCAGAAGTCCTGGTTCAGTGAGTCAAACCACCTTAGCAATGCATCTCATTGCCAAATTATCGTACAACCACAGCCTCAATGCATGAGAGACAATGGAGATCCTCAAATCAAAGATGATTGAGATGAGCATCTACAGAAATGGAATGAATGAATAAATAAATACCACCCCCAACCAGGTTTACCTGATGGTCCACAGGTCTTCTGGTCATCCAACAGATTGTATCCATCAACACAGGAACAAGCTGCCCTCCCTCTTTGTACATTTCTGCAAATCTGCTCACAATTTCCATTCTCCAGTGAACATACATCTTCAATGGTGAGAGGGAAAGAATAAGAATAAGTTTATCAGGATGAGATTAACGGCCCAAGGAGCTGCTGATCCAGTTCTACAGAGGAATTATTGAGTCTGTCATCTGCACCTCTATAACTGTCTGGTTTGGCTCTACAACCCAACAAGACAGACACAGACGTCAGAGGATAATTAGAACTGCAGAAACAACAATTGCTACCAACCTGCCTTCCGTTGAGGACCTGTATACTGCACGAGTCAAAAAGAGGGCTGTGAAAATATTTACAGACCCCTCGCATCCTGGATATAAATGGTTTCAACTCCTACCCTCAAAACGACGCTATAGAGCACTGCACACCAGAACAACTAGACACAAGGACAGTTTTTCCCCCGAACGCCATCACTCTGCTAAACAAATAATTCCCTCAACATTGTCAAACTATTTACTAAGTCTGCATTACTATTAATTGTCCCATCGTTCCCATCACCCATCTCCTTACACTTATGACTGTAACCTTGTTGCTTGTATCCTTACGATTTATATTGACTGTTTCCTAATAAGATTTGATTGCTTATTTGTACCCTATGACTATCATTAAGTGTTGTACCTTATGACTCTTGATGAATGTATCTTTTCTTTTATGTACACTGAGAGCATATGCCCCAAAGGCAAATTCCTTGTGTGTCCAATCACAATTGGCCAGCCAATCAATCAATCAATCAATTCTATGAGATGGAGACAAGGAAGTTGCCTATCGGATACTTGGGTTCGAGTCTACTTCTCAAAAGTACTTTCTATCTAATGAAAATGTGACCTGCAAAAAGGAAGGCTGGCTGGCTGAGGTCTGGCTGACTGAGGAATTCTGGGAGTTGAAGTCCACAGAGTCTTTATGAAAGGAGGCCTAGAATGCTAGATGTGTGTTGATGGTTCTTTTGAAGGAACACTTACCAATATATGTCTTCCAAAATACCACCTGCAAAAAAACCAACAATTTACAACATTGCATTCAAATAGAAGTAGATTTGACTCTAAATTCAGACCCAAAGTTCATTTGTGGTAATGATCTCATCGTCTCTCAGATATTACACTCCCTAACCATGTCCATAAACACATCTACAAGCCCCATCCTTTGAGAATTCCTCCTGATCATAGAATATCTCCTTTTGGTTTCATATCTAAATAAAGCTTATAGACTTTATTGGTCTATAATAGATATTTGTATCTATTGTAGATACATGTAGATATTTGGAAGACTAGAGGTATGACTACTGAAATTGAAGAAGGCCATATTGGACTTGATCTTGACGGTCATGTTGGATCTGTTCTGCAAGCTATGCATTGATAAATTACATACATTTCTCACTGCAATTCACAGGGCCGGTTTTGAATGAGAAAGGAACTAATCTGGCACCCATCGATCCCAACTCAAATCAAGACCTCATCCCCAGGAATATTTTTCTGGAAAAACCTATTTATGGCACCCTGATCAGGATAGGGATCAAGAAGATGGTAGCTATGTAACAACCTGAAGCGCATGATCTGGGATTGCCAAATTGTTTGGCTAGTAAGCATTTTGCTAGTTGAGGGGGAGAAGGGAGGAGGAAGGAGGGAGGAGGGGGAGGGGGAGGGGGGGGGAGGGGAGGGAAGGGAAGGGAAGGGAAGGAAGGAAGGAAGGAAGGAAGGAAGGAAGGAAGGAAGGAAGGAAGGAAGTAGGAAATTAAGTTCTCTTGATGCCTATAATCACCGTTTGAGCATCATCTTCAAAAACTTCTCGGGCTTCTTCAAAATCGCATATTTCCTCAATGCACTCCCGTTCAAGATTCCCTTGACGAACTTCTTCAAGGTATCCAGAATTATACCTTCTATATCGGCGCAAGACAGAACTTGCCTTTTGCTGATTAATAAAAACTACAGCACAAAAAGTAATGAGAGGTTATAGACACAAACGTTCTCCAGGCAGACACAGGGGGGAAAAATATATCAAAAGACATTTGGGGTTTTCCAGTTTTGCTTCATAACTTTTGTCCTGTCTGTTATTTTATCTAAATTCCTTAGAACTGAAGTGTTTTAATACTGTGTGTGACCAACCATACGCTAAATAAATAAATCCTTAGAACAGAATTTTAAAAAAGAAAGAAGAAAATACTTCATTGGCAATAGGACTACCTGTTGTCAATGAAGTATTTTCTTTCTTTCTTTCTTTCTTTTTTTTGAATTCTGTACTAAACTAATATCTTTATTTCATTTAGCTGTAGGTTCCCTGAGACAAGGAATATATTACTGTATTATTTTGCGGTGGAGTTCACTGGTCAATTTCAAAAGGTTAAACTATGGTTGATTAAAATCAAAGGCAGCTCTGCAACCTTTTAAATCACCTTCCCCAGGAAGGTAATAATTAAACTTCCAATTTGGATTGGTGATTTTTATCGCTAGTCATCAATAGAAAAGATTTCCACAGGGGCTCAGCAACCCTAATGAACAGCAATAGTAACATATAATACTCTAAAACGAACAAAAGAAAGCCATAGAAATGAATGAAGGCTATAATTTAGCCGTTTTGGATTACATTTTCGGCAAATAGAATACCGGTGCATTGGGGATTCATTTCAGTTTGTAAATTCCTTGCAAACAATCCAAGTTAGATTCAAAATGCACATTTGGGATTACTAATTCCATTATTGTAAATGCGATTCTAACTTTTTAAATGGGTATTTGTTCGTACAGCAGCCACGTTTTAATAATCTATCTCTTTTCCCACTTACTATTTCCCAAATGTCTGTGGAGGTTCTCAGTCAGAGAGGTTGTCCCAAAAGTCCTTTTTCAAAACGCAGCTGGACTTTCTTTTCCCTTGAAGATGTTTCGCTTCTCATCCAAGAAGCTTCTTCAGCTCTGACCAAAAGGTGGAGGATGGAAGGATTTATATCCAAGATGAAAAGCTAATGATCCTCAAGACATACAAAGTCTAGTTACCTTTTGAAAAAGCACTTTTTGGAACTATTTCCAAAATCTACATTTTATCGGTTGGGTAGATGCAAAGGTTTAGGGTTACAAAACCAAATTTATAGACAGGGATTTGGGAGCAAGTCCTATTAAGTACCTACACATAGAGTTGCAATTACGCTAATTAATTAATTAAAATTGGAAACAAGAAAACATGCCAACAAATGCAATGATAATAAAAGAAAGTCCTCGATTGCGCGGAAATGGATAAATTAACCATGGAGCTCAAAGATAGAGAGGAATCAGAGAATTACAGGAGTTGGAATATGTGGTATCAATGGCTCAAAACAAGATGTAAAATTGATGCATTAAGATGATATAGAAAGTACGTTAAATTGAAAATTTTATATAAATTTATAAATATGATATAACTTGTTAAAGGATAAAAGGGATATGTAAATACATATGTATATATTACCTATATGAAGAATAGAGTCAATCGATGTTCATGAAGAATAAAAATAGAATATTTAAGATATTATATAATTAAAGGTGTACATAATGTATACAACAATAGGCCATAAATCGGAATTACGAAATCTGAATTGTTACCGATAGTTGAAAGCTGTAAAAATGGAAATGTGTTTTTAAAATTAAAAAAGGTTGAATAAAGACTTTTTTTAAAAAAGAGTTGCAATTACAATGAATGAGAGTTGGTTGGTCTAATATTCCGATATCCGTGCTATCTTTAGAAGCTTTTAAGTTCAACTTATTTCCCCGTGGCTTATTCCTTAGTTGGTGACCAAAACAGCTTTTCAACTCCAACCAAAAGAAACTTAGCTGAAAAGGGAACCAACCTGCACACTCAGCGAGAAGAAGGCTTCCCAACAGTCCGAGGACCAAGGCAAAGCCACGGTGGGCCATTTTCCTTCAACTTCACAGCAGCTTTGCTAATGTCGCATGAATGGGCACCTCTCGATCACTCGTTCCAAAGGGCAAGTACATATTTGTTTTGGGCTTAACACAGGGGTCATCTTTTCCCTCAAGGTCCTTCCTTGATGCCTTTCCAGATGCATAACAGCAGCTTAAACAAGGTGTGTTAAGTTTCTATAGAACATCACAGTGCTAAAAGGGAATAGAATAGAATAGAATAGAATAGAATAGAATAGAATAGAATAGAATAGAATAGAATAGAATAGAATAGAATAGAATAGAATAGAATAGAATAGAATAGAATAACAGCATTGGAAGGGACCTTGGAGGTCTTCTAGTCCAACCCTCTGCTTAGGCAGGAAATCTACATCACTTCAGACAAAGGGTTATCCAACATCTTCTTAAAAACTTCCAGTGTTGGAGCATTCACAACTTCCAGAGGCAGGTTGTTCCACTGATTAATTGTTCTCACTGTCAGGAAATTTCTCCTAAGTTCTCAGTTGCTTCTCTCCTTGATGAGTTTCCACCCATTTCTTCTTGTTCTACCCTCAGGTGCTTTGGAGAGTAGCTTGACTCTCTCTTCTTTGTTGCAACCCTGAGATATTGGAAGACTGCTATCATGTCTCCCCTGGTCCTTCTTTTCATTAAACTAGACATGCCCAGTTCCTGCAACCGTTCTTCGTGTGTTTTAGCCTCCAGTCCCCTAATCATCTTTGTTGCTCTTCTCTGCACTCTTTCTAGAGTCTCCACATCTTTTTTACATCGTGGCGACCAAAACTGAATGCAATATTCCAAGCGTGGCCTTACCAAGGCATTATAAAGTGGTATTAACACTTCACGTGATCTTGATTCTATCCCTCTGTTGATGCAGCCCAGAACTGTGTTGGCTTTTTTGGCAGCTGCTGCACACGGCTGGCTCATATTTAGATGGTTGTCCACTAGGACTCCAAGATCCCTCTCACAGTTACTACTATTGGGCAAGGTACCAAAGATACTGTACCTGTGCATTTTGTTTTTCTTGCCTAAATGTAGAACTTTACCTTTTTCACCATTGAATTTCATTTTGTTAGATAGTGCACAATATTAAAGTCTGATTAGGTTTTACCCATGTCCATGAAGACTATACTTGTCAAAAACGGCTTCGTCCATTTCCTAAGTGTGCTGATGAACATGCCAAAGGTGCTTTTTTCAAATGGCAACTGGACTTGCTTAGTTTGCTTCATTGAAAACATCTCACTTCTCAACCAAGAAGCCAAGAAACAAAACATTTTCAAAGAAAAAAACCCAAGATAGTCCAGTTGTCTCTTGAAAAAAGCACCTTTGGGACAACATAGATGATTGATCATCTCGATTGATATGTTGATTGACACCTATCTCTTGTCTGTTCTACCATTGATCCCAGTGTAGGAGGAGGAGGGGAGCTGAAGACCAAAAACTTCTGAAAGACAACGAGTTCTCTTATATATACCTGAAGTTTCTCGGTGATTTGCAATAATCCAGTTAAAGTAATCTTGGCCTAGTACTCTCCAAACAAATATAAATAAATGCAAAACCAGCTCTGAGAGGTCTCCATTCAGAAGCCCTCTCCCTTGTTGAATGATACCAAGACGGCTGAGAGATGAGTAAATACTGTGAGTAATTCATCAAGCTGGCAGATCCTGCTGGCATGGTAATAAAGTTCTCAACTGTTAAAAAAGCACTTAAATGTATTTTAAGGCTGGGCAGCTTTAACTGAAGCATTGTATCCAGATTGGTACGAATTCCGATGGCTGGAATGCACCTGGAGGCTGGGATCCAGCTCCCTTTAAAAAGGGTACAGGAAAGTCAGAAATTATTAGGAAATCTGGAACCTCAGGCCTATGAGGAACATTGGGATATTTAGCGTATAAAAGAGTGATTGTGATGCAAAGAAATATTTATTTTTATTCTTTTCATCTCTCAGTGTTTTGTTTTGAGAATTCAGAGGGATAGAAGGATGGAGGGAGGGATGAAGAGATGGAGGGAGGGATGAAGAGATGGAGGGAGGGAGGGAGGGATGTAAGGAAGGAAGGAGGGATGGAGGGAGAGGGGGTTAGGATTAGGGTTATTAGGAAATCTGGAACCCAAGGCCTATGAGGAGCAGTTGAGGTCATTGGGATATTTAGCGTATAAAAGAGTGATTCTGATGCAAAGAAATATTTATCTTTATTCATTTCATCAGTGTTTTGTTTTCAGAATTTGGAGGGAGGGAGGGATGAAGAGATGGATGGAGGGAAGAAGGAAGGGAAGGAGGAAGGATGGATGGATGAAGAGATGGAGGGAAGGAGAGATGGAGGGAGGGAGAGATGGAGGGAGGGAGGGATGTAAGGAAGGAAGGAGGGATGGAGGGAGAGAGGGTTAGGGTTAGGGAAATCTGGAACCCAAGACCTATGAGGAGCAGTTGAGGTCATTGGTATATTTAGTGTATAAAAGAGTGATTCTGATGCAAAGAAATATTTATTTTTATTATTCTTCTAATCCAACCCCCTACTCAACCAGGAGACCCTACACCATTTCAGACAAATGGAAGTCCACTCTCTTCTTACAAAACCTCCAATGTTGGAGCACCCACAGCTTCTGAAGATAAGCCATCCTACTGACTGATTGCTCTCACCGATAGGAAATTTTTCTTTGGTTCTTGAAAGACCAAACAAAACTTTCTTTGTTGATTCATTTTTTTTTTTTAGTTATATAAGCATATCCAAGCGGGTTCTTTCTGGTAAGCCGTATTGTTGATTTGTTTCTGGTTTCTTTCAAGATAATTTGATTTCCGGCCTCAATAATTGATAACTTCAACGAAGCAAGCCAAAAAAAAAAAAATTGCTGTAGGATAATGGTGCCAGTGAAAGGGATCTGGAATGAAAGGGCAAAGCAATGTAAGCAGGAAAAATAGATATAGTCTCAACTAATAAAAAGAGGAAGAAGTCAACTGAAATCCAAGGAAGGGCAACAGATGGCCCATCCATCCACTATCAAATTTTATTATCTTGACTGCGTCTTCTGGTTCTTGTCCTTGAGTCCCTTCTCGTTTCATATTTCAAGCTCTTTGAATCAAATTTCAGAAACGCTGAGCAGTCTTTATTTTAATCAAAAGCTGGTCAAGTTTCATTCTCCTTGGTGGTACTTGAGAAATCTTATCAATTTGTTCTGGTCAAGAGCTGATGGAGCAGTTTGGAGTCAGAAAATGTTTCCTCCTAAACATCTCCTTCTACGCCGGTTGATCTGGACCAATCTTTCAAAATACACTTTGCTTCTCAAATTTTCCTCTGAAGTCAGGACTTCTTTCTCTGGCACATCCATAACTATGTCGTCCATAATCCACCTCTGATGTAGACACACCGTATTCCAAATCTGGATTTGTACGACAGTAATGTTAAAGTTGGAATTAAAATTGCCGGGAGAAATATCAACAACCTCAGATATGCAGATGATACCACTCCAATGGCAGAAAGCAAAGAGGAATTAAAGAGCCTCTTGATGCAGGTGAAGAAGGAGAGTGCAAAAGTTGGCTTGAAACTCAACATTAAGAAAACTAAGATCATGGCACCCGGCTCTCTCAATTCCTGGCAAATAGATGGGGAAGAAACGGAGGTAGTGGCATATTTTATTTTCCTGGGCTCCAAGATCACCGCAGATGGGGACTGCAGCCAAGAAATGAAAAGATGCTTGCTCCTGGGGAGGAAAGTTATGGCAAAGCTAGATAGCATACTAAAAAGCAGAGACATTATCCTGCCAACAAAAGTGCATATAGTCAAGGCTATGGTTTTCCTAAGTGCAATGGATGGCTGCGAAAGTTGGACCATAAGGAAGGCTGAGCGCCAAAGAATGGAGGCCTTTGAACTATGGTGCTGGAGAAGACTCCAGCGAGTCCCTTGGACTGCAAGGCGATCCAACCGGTCAGTCCTAGAGGAGATCAACCCTGACTCTCTTTAGAAGGCCAGATCCTGAAGAGGAAACTCAAATACTTTGGCCACCTAATGAGAAGGAAGGACTCCCTGGAGAAGAGCCTAATGCTGGGGAAGATTGAGGGCAAAAGAAGAAGGAGACAGCAGAGAACGAGGTGGCTGGATGGAGTCACTGAAGCAGTCGGCGTGAGCTTAAATGATCTCTAGAGGATGGTAGGGACAGAAAGGCCTGGAGGAACGTTGTCCATGGGGTCTCGATGGGTCGGACATGACTTCGCAACTAACAACAACAAAAGTTAAAGTCCTTGGAATAATGGATGCCCTTCCCCTGTGAATTCTTCTCTCTTTCTGCTTAATCCTGAAAATTTTTTTTGCAGATTTGGGTGCCCGCTAAGCCAATTTAGTACAGCATGGCCTATGAGCTGCGAGATTGAATATTTCTGGCTCTTTCTGCTCCTCTTACCTTGCAAATGAGTTACACCGGCTCTGTTTCGAATAATGAAAACCATTGAAGCAGCGAAGTACTTCAGATACAGAAGGTTAGTGCATCTCACAAATACAAGGAAAAGCTAAGAAGGCAAACAAGAAATTCTTACTAGGGTGCAAAAAAAAAAACCAAACCACCACCCCCTTTTGCACCTACGTTACTACTACTTTGCATCCTTTAGGAGAGGAAGGTCTGTCTTCTCCCAACCCCCACCCCCATAAAGGTGGTGCCTGAGTCTAATTAGCATGCAGGGAAATGTGTGGTTGTAGCTTGCGCGCGCACACACACAAAAATCTAACAAGGTTTTTTTATCTGAGTCTCAAGAGTCTCTGCGGGAAGGTAATATAACACCTGTTTTTAACACCTGTAACCAGGAACAGATTAAAATCGCACTGCGATGAACGCTGCAAATCTCATCAAAAGAGCAAAATGAGGAAAGCAGGTGCTTGCGACGGGCTTCTCATTGTCCCTTTTTTCTCCTGCCATCTCCAAATTCCTATCTGTTATGAAGGCAAAGCTAAGTTTCGTATTGCTGCCTTTCAATTATTTGTGTGTGTGTGTGTGTGTGTCTCCTTTCTCTCTCTATTCAAAAGTGCTCGGCTCGCCCTCCTCCCTGCTTCTTCAGGA